GCTCAACCGATGATATAACTACTCGTATCGCCCCAATGCAGGCCTAAGCTGAGCATGGCGTAATTGTAGTAATCATTTTGTAAATTACAACATGGTTATCTCCAGTTTACACCCAGACCCAGACGGAGCCTGTAACCTGGCTTGGTCATCTCAGTTCAGCAGCCGTCTCTCGTCTGCATGCCTGAATTACAGGGATTTAATGGATTAGATATGGAAAATCTCTCGCTTAGCCTGTCACTCCTTACAAAGGTCAAGTAGAGATTCACTCTCTGGGTTCATAACTTGATGACTGCCACTGTCTGGGTATCCATCTTGATGGAATAGTTAATGAGTTGTTGTGTTGGTGGGTTGTTTGTTTTAAGATGCAGTTTTAATACTTTGAACCCTCTCACCCAATCGTTATGTTGTTGTTGACGCCTTGAACTTGTTGGTTGTCATTGCCGTCATGAATATACAGAGTTAGTGCAGTGGTCCGGGTGTCTGACTCCCAGCTGAATAGTTCCGTTAGGTTCGATTCCGTTAGGTTCGATCACCAAAATAGGTTCGATCCCCAATGTCCGCAGTCTGCCTGTAGGCATCTTTGAGCAAGATGCCCCCTGACCACATGCATCTGAAATTCACTGTGAGTAAGCTTTAGATAAAAGCAATTGGCAAAAGGACTAGATAGTAAAATATGAATAATCAGAATAATTATAATTAATCATAGAGTAATCACAATCAAGTATAGGATAAATGATTATTGCTATTATAATTTATAACATACTGTAAATATAAAGGCAACTGTGTGTGTATACTGCTTCTTGCTATATTTGTCCATGTCTTACTGTATGCGGTGGCTTGGGCTTGGTTGTAATGAGAAACTCCAGCCTCTCGATCGAGCATTCAAGGTGTTGGTGTATTATTAGTGTGTGTTTGTGCGTGTGTGTGGTCGCACGTGTTACTGTGTGCCCGTGTGTTTGTATATGCACGTGTGTGCGTGTGTGTGTGTGTGTGTGTGTGTGTGTGCGCACGCGCCACACTACACTAGGCTGTAGTGCTGTGTGACACTGGGTGTGACAGTAGTACATTGGGTGTGTTAATCCTCCAGCCTCTCTGGACAAGGGGTTTTATCCCAGCGCGGGGGGCTTCCCGACAGGCTGGTACAGCAGAGAGGAGTGGGGGGCTGTAACTGCACCATTGCACAGAGGGCAGATGACGGGTCGTTCCCTAATGTCTGTGGACCATTACCACCACCAGACCCTGTGTGTTGTCCTGACGTGAGGCGGTTCAACTGTGGCTCAAAAGCTCAAAGCATACGGGCATATCGGGACAGACGGGAAATAACGTTTTTGAATTTTCAAGTCGTATCTGAAGCAAGCCAAAAAATACACCCACGCTACATCCACCCTTCCTGTGTCTTGTTCCGTTAAAACAATATGATTCTAGTTCGGGTTTTTGTTGCACTACAAATAAGAGGTGGAATTTGTGCTCCGTATGCTGTGAGCTTAAGTGCTGCTCTAATTTTTAAAGACAATGAGTAAAGTAACATTCTGGCTCTCAAGATTAATATGTATTATTAAGAAATGTCTTGTTTTTATAAGTACATCAGGATATTACGGTGGAAGTAATAGGATAAGAGAGCAGAGCTTAGAGAGAGATGGGGGATGGAAAGGAAGAGATAGAGACATGGTCAGCTATGTTTATATAGAGGAAGAGAGGAATAGTGATGAAAGAGAAAAAAAAGGATGAAGAGTGAAAGACAGAGGAGAGAGATGGGATGAAGGGATAGCTAGAGATGAGAAGGAGAGGGAGAGATGAGAAGCTGTTAGAGAAGAGAAAGATGGAGAGCGACAGGGGGGTGAAAACATGGAGAGAGGGGGATAGAGAGCAGATGTTCCATCCTATCAGTTTAGACCAAGCTGCCTGCTACTGCTGTCTCCTCAGTCCGCTCCTACCCAGCCTCTAGCAACAACAACACACACACGTGCAAAAAACATCACTGTGTGGCATGTCATTTTCTCTAGTGTGTGCATACATCCATCTGTGTGTGCATTTTTATTGCTTTCTCCTTTTATCTGTTTGTTGATGCAGAACAACAAATTAATATCAAATGCTGAGTGTTTTGGATCAGTGTTTTGGCACTTGGCAGTCACACTGCTGCTGTGGAGCCTTTATGTAAATGGGATGTAATTATCATTCATGTGCAATCTATGTGAATGTTAATGGATGACCATAAGTTATAGACCTCGACAAACAAAAACAGTGACAAATCCCATACAAATGTTTTGCTTGAAAATGCTTTAAAAGTAACAAAATAAATAACAGAAGCCTCAAATTTCTGACCAATCACACACAATGTTCGAATTGCTGTCATCTGCAGAGATTTTGGCATGAAGAAGTGCCGAAAAATACGTTTGATGAGGTATGCGTTGTTTGTTTTCGCCACAATCGCGTCATTATGTTCTTGTGACCTCACTGAACTTCTTTTCTGCAAGTATGCTGCCTGCTTAAATAGTTTACAGTACTAAACCACATTAGCGCACACATACACACACACCTAGTCTCTTTGTGTTTAGTTTTGTTCTATTTCAGTTAAACCCTCTGTCCTGTGTTTTGTGGTTTCCTTGTGTTAGTTTCTGTCAGTCATTTGGTTAATTAGTTATTGGTTGTGTGTCGTGTTGTTGAATGCTTGGGCAAGCGGCAGCTAGTATATAAAGCCTAGTGAGATGAGACCTGTTGCTACCTCCATCTCCATCTCTTCTGTGTGTATAAGATTAGAGTCGTTATTTTGTGTTCACTGTATTTTCAATGTGCTGTTTGTTTTTCGTATATTTCGTTTTAATATTAAAGTATTTAAGTTCTTGGAAGCTGTGGTGGAAGTGGAACATTACTTGTTTCTGGCTGGTTTCCCCTGGGCTGGCCGTAACACTCACTCACTCCCACTCTGCTGAAGTAAACTTTCAGAGTTTAAACCTTAAATATTGTCCTCTGCCGTTTATTACATTCAATGTCTCCATGACCTTGTGACGATAGACTGTGTAATATCCATTTTAGCTACTGGCATTATTCCAAACAAAAGACAAAATCTACCTGCCAAGCAATTGTTGAATTTTTGTACCTGCCAAAAAGTCAAATCTTTCTGCCATTGGCTGGTATTAATCTGTATGCCTATAATTTGTATTCATATACATATTGTTTTTATGTAACTATAACTAAAGCAACTCAAATGCTGGGATATTGCATATTTAAACGAATTAAATCCTGTACGTTATTCTGCTTGTACTGAACAAGTTGGCTCACACGATTCGCTCAGCAGGAGGTAGGATGCTGTAGGCAGTCATCATGTTGCATTAGGTGGACATTTAAGGTAAATATACCCTTCATGAACAACCTCCAATTTGCCCAAACATTTGTTAATTTTATTGAGCAAGGAACATGTTTGCACATAGAGCAATAACACATGTCAAACTCGTGTTTAATTTTTAACATGTCATTTATTTCTCAATAATGTAGTTTCACAGTGCACAAAATGTGTTTTTGCATTGATGTGCGTTGTTTATTCTTGCTGGTGTGTCCCAAATGAAAGCCATATCTTGTCTTCTCTCCTTAAGACTCTGTTCTGTGTCAGAATGGTAATTCCTTGGGTCCTAATCCTGTATTGTTATGCTAATAGCAAGCAAGCAAAAACATTTCAACAGTGAATTGTAAATAAAGAGCATTTCAGCTGTGCTCTATTTAACCGTAAAAGGCGGTAGTTTCAGAGGTTGGTTGGGGTGGGAAAACAGTGTGACATTATTGGTCTTTCTGGTTTGACTTTTAATTGGGTCACATTGAAAACAAAATATTTATTAAAAGATCACATTGAGGGCTTGGTTGACAAAGAGTATGAAATGGAGAATGTCTGAAGAGAACATCCAATCAAATATATAATTAGATATTTATATTCATTAAATGATGTATATCTATAGAGATTACTTTCATCATCAGGCACTCTAAGGGGCCATCCACAGGGAGACGCTTTTTGGTTTAAACGCAAATGTTCTGCATCGTTTTGGCCGATCGTCCAAACGAATCCTGTAAACGCATTGCTTGCAAACAAACTTTTCTGAAACCTGGTCCCAGGGTGAACAAATTCACAAATGAAGCCCTTGAGTGTTCGTTTGGACGGCCAATACGCATACTTGCGTTTCGATGACGTCATCGCCACACCCCTCGAGTGTAACCTCTTGTAACCCGTGACGACGTCTCATAACAACAACAATGGCAGACTACATGCTCGTGTTCCTGCTGGAGAAGATATTGTGCCTATTAGGGTTACTATCGCAAAATATTATGCTCCTGTGCCACCACGCTGAGCAAAACAGGCTGATGGACAACCACATAAGCCACATTTTACATCTACCGCGATGTATATTTGTATACAGCGCTCAAGCTTTATGCGCATGCTCCGCCTCTTCCTCTCCGTTTTCGGTGAATTTCTAAAACTGAAACAGCGCCACCTATACGCCTGGAATATGAAGTAGCGTGTTGAGTTGTATTGAGATGGATCCGTTTGGACGCAAATGTTCTTGATACGATGCCAGGGAAAACGGGGGGAAAAAAGATCGTTTTGGTACGTGTGGACTTGGCCAACAAACAAACCCAAGTGAAGTAGGTGAAGTACAAAACAAGTGAATACAAGTATGAATCATTCTACACAAACTGAAATTCCCAGCTTATTTACCTCATTAATCAATGGCTTATTCAGTCCACCCATCACTAATTGTTCCATTGCAAAATGTTTAACATGGCTTGTTTAGTGTATTTTCTAATTCAGACTTAATAACAAACAAACATGTGCAGGCCCATCTCTGAGTGTGGGAACGTGAGCCAGTCAGCTCTTAAGGTCACGCTTATTATTAGCAACACCCTGAACGTTGGTTGCCATGGTGAAAAACAATCACAACAGCTGAACAACGTGAGTAACTAGGAAGACAAATGGGCATGAGCTAAGGAGTGAAACTAAACCAGGATAGTCACAGGGCCAGGATATTCTAGTGTTTAGGCTGTTCGACTCCAAACTGAAAGGTTCTGGGTTTGAACCCTAGTCTGGTTCGAACCCAAGTCTGCAGTCTCACCTGTAGGCATCCTTGAACAAGATGCCCCTTAACCCCTACCTGCTCCTTAATGTATCTGAATTCACTGTAAGTCACTTTGGATAAAAGTGTATACTAAATGACTAGACAGTGATGGTAAACCGTGATATACGCCTCTTGTAAATGAAAGTGACGTATTCAAAAAATGCATTCAAGTGCAGATGAAGTTGTCACATTCTCCCAAGGTTTGAATCTGCAGTACATCGCTGCTGCAATACTAATACCTCACCAATAGAGGGTGCTGTTTACAAAACGCCACTCAAAGTTTCTGGGTTCAAGTCCACAGTAGGCATCGTTGAGGTAGATGCCCTAACACATACCTGCTCATTCATGGCCTCAAAACAAATTCACTGTAAGTCTCATAAGATTAAAGCATCTGCTTAACAAGTGACTGCACTGCGGTTGCTAGTTTGAATCCCAGGTAATTCAGGTGTCAGACCTCCCCTGTAATGGCTTAGAGTGTGTACAAGTCCACAAGCTCAAAAATAATGCAGCCAAAACAAGGGTTAAACGTATTAAACTGAATCTTGGAATTGAATAATGCACTCTTTCCTTTTGACACACCGAGGGCGTAACACTATATTTTAAAATGCACCTTCCTGTTCTACACACCCTCAAAGTGTCAAAAAAAGGAGGTGTTTTAGAAGAGTTTCATTATCATGCATAAAAAAAGCCTACAGCAGTCGTCTATTGTTTACAGGATCCGTTTTTTTCCAGTATACTTGGTGTAATGGCTGAGTTTGCTTGTATAAAACATAAAACTATTAACTTCCTCCCATCCCGCAGAGTACGATAATCTTTTTACATCCCCAGCCCTGGCGAATGACTTTTTTGGCAAACTAAATAATTACAATGAATAAAACGAGAGGCTGGCACACTTGCAGGTACAGTTCAGAGCAACCGACCGAAGAATTGAACAAATACATTTTCAAACAAAACTGAAACAATGTAGGGCAGTAATTTGGTGCAAATTGAATTTCCCCAAGGGGAAAATTAAGCCAGTTTTGTTCCTCCAATTCAATAAAATCATTCAGATAAAAAAAGAAAAGAAATGTGAACAATGTGATCCATAAAGTTTTGGGTAATTGATGAGTCAAAACAAATACTGGACGGGTTACAAATTATTTTAAAGCACTGCCAAGTTTACCATTTTCTTCAAACACAAAACTGGCCTAATTTTGGTCTATCCGTGCAACAATGTAATCAGGTTATATATAATTATATAGATTCAAAATTATTTGTGTGTCAAAAGTGTGGCATACACTTTTAGTAGGGGTGACCCCGAATAGTCGACTATTCGACGATTCGATCAAAGGAGCCTGATTCGACTGCCAATCTCATAGTCGAATCGTCGGCAAAACACAGGATCATTCCATTCGGGCTATAGGCCGTGCTGAATGTCTGATTTTACATAGAGTTTCTTTCACCCAATAAATCATGATATATAGCCTATTTTTGTATAAATAACAAGTGCAAAACACACTGCCGCCGCAGCGCCACTGCGCGTCTATGACACAAGTGCCGCCCCTAGCACACATTCAAAGCGTCACGCTGCGGCGCGTTAACAGGAATATAGTCGTCTCCGGAGCAGAAGAAAAACAAAAGAAAAGAAAAAAGCGCCTTTTCGGCAGCACTTGACATGCGGCGACGCTGTGAAATAGGACAGTGGCGTGAAGTGTAGCGGGGCGTCGCTGCCACTGCCGGTGTGGGGGTGTACATAGAAAATAATAGGGGTGGCTGTTTTGATGTGCGCCATTCGGCGGCGGTGTCAATGTCGCAAATGAGAATATGGATCAATGAGCAAAAAAAAAGAAAAAAACATGATTCGACGATCAGTCGACTATAGGCAAGACTTGACGAATCAGATTCGACTATCTGTTATTTATCAAAATTACACAGCAGTGACCAGGGCTGCTATTATAAAACAAATAGCGGGCATTGGCAAATGGGAAGGTCAGTGTAGCAGTTTTCCCTGCCACACGCCACATCATCATCATCACATAAGCATCACATAAGAATGCATAAGGAATGCACAAACAACTACATGCTTTTTTCTCATTTGAAATTGAAACAACCACTATAAATCCTTATAGACTACTGTTCCCTGTAACGTCTATCCTACATGACTTTAAGTGTTGTGTTTGTATAGTTTTCTGAACCACAATCTTGAACAATAAAGGCCATTTAAAGACAATGAGGACGAGGATGGTGGTGGTAACAGGCCTAATAACTATTAGAAATAACAATCTAAAACTAATGTCAACTAAACTGAAAGTAGGTTAAATGTGTTTAAACAACCAAACGTTCTACAAATAAGGTAAATAAATAAATAAATGAATTGTCTGAATAAAATATAAAACAAAACTAATAATTCTGAAATGACCAGGGGCCTCATGTACTAAGACTTGCGTGGATTTCTTACTAAAACTTTGCGGACGCCCAAATCTGGAAAGCTGCTGCGCACAAATAAATCCGGATGTATCAATCCTTGCGTAAGCACAATTTCGCGCAGATTCTCTTTGTACATCCCAATTGACGTGAAATTGAGCGCACATGCACGAGCCCGACTCTCCGCCCTGTATCCTCCCTCATTTAATATGCTAATTAGTATAAATAGGCCTGCAGTAGTGCGCTTGTTAGGAGAAAGGAGATAATGGAGAAAGGAAGAGAATCAAGGGCATTAATGATATTAATTCCAACCTGCTGCAACAAATAACTGGGGCCTTAAAAGACATTAATGAAACATTAAAAGAACTAGTTAAAAAATTAATGTTGTCTCCGTTTACCTTTTTTATATTCTTGCTATTAACTGCTGCCGAGTTCGAATGGCTTCTGCATTGGGCTGCGCATTGTTTGGTCCGGGGTCTGGATCGTCTGAGGGCCATTACCTTGTGTAATGGCACGCCGTGCCTGTGCGCAATATTGTGCAGAACCCCACATGCCTGCACAATGCGGCACACCTTTTCAGGGTGATAGAGCAGCATCCCCCCGCTCCGGTCAAGGCAGCGCCACCGGCTCTTTCCACGACTGACCGAGTGCGTGCATGGATATTGTTATATCTCTGCTCTCGGACAGTCAGTGGGTTGGCGAGGGGGGTTAACAGCCATGGTCGTAAGGGGGAATTGGTACAATTACAGCATATAGGCTACCCAACATAGATTGAAGTCAATTCGCTTTAAAGTGTTTTAAATTGCTTACCAATTAGCCACCCATCACACACTGCCAGGCTCCAACCTATTCCCAACCGAGCTGTTAGTCAGGACGAATGAATCATGGGTTGACCCAGGCCACCTTGCCACGATATTCGTAAGGCGCATTTGGGCATCACAGATTATTTGCACGTTTAAGGAATGAAAGTGTTTCCTATTCACGTACGCATATTCCCCTTCAGATGGCGCCTTTATTGCAATGTGTGTGCAGTCGATCGCTCCGATTACATTGGGAAAACCGGCTATGTCTGCAAAAAAGAGGATATAGCTTTTGGAAATCTGAATCGGCTGATAAGCCAGTCATCATCATGACACCCGTTCATTTCGAATGCGACCATTCGCAATATCTTCTAACAAGGAAGACTGCCATTGTCAACCTCTCGATTATTGCAACATTTTGCGCGTGCTTTTATATTCTCATTAATTTGGATGCATGCTGACGATAGGTTGTCCCCATACACCCAAGGTGTCAATAATATGTACATAATTAGAAGTTGTCCGACTGGTTCATTGATGGATTGATTTTAAGTAACAATGGCTTGTGCTTACTCCACGCAACATCAAATAATGATATTGCAGTCAAGAATTTCACGACAAATGCGTGGAGAGAGATCCATTAGGCCGGATGTCATGCGTGGCCCTGAAAATATGTAACGTTTAATAAACAAGTCGTCACTGAAAATAATATAGCTTGGGCTTCCTTTTAATTTACTTTTAATTCCAATATTGACAATTTAATTGTATGTGTCTGTTTAAGTTTAGCCTAATACAACAGTGTCACATTATGCCTCTCGACAACAATAACGCATGATTGAAGTGCAGCCCGACGTACAAATCCACTTTTTACTAGCCCCATATTGCAATATTACTTCATGACTCGTGATCGCGTAGCCTAATGTTGTTGCGCTGCATTGCCTCTATGTGCCGCCAACTGACAAAATGCAGCAGAAATGTGCGTAAGCAAGGCATTTAGTTTGCGTGGAGAACCGCACTTTTTCACGTCAAGTCAGTCTTTGTACATCCGAACGTTTGCGTGAGAAGTGGCTTACGCAGCCTTTTTTGTGCGTAAGCAAGCTTTGTACATGAGGCCCCAGGTGCTGGCGTATTGCTATCAAGCGCAGAAGACGTCTTTGTCTCAAAGATATGAGTCTCCGTATATTACGCGTTATTTGGAATAGGCAATAGAGCGCTACTACAACGTGTGGCCGATCCATGATTGTCAAGGCTGTTACCGGGCGAGGGCAGGTGCGTTTCATTTATTCCTTTTCCTCCTCCCCCGCCCACTTCCCCTCAGCTCTCCAAGTGGCCTCTGTGTGACGTATTACCAAGGGCTGAGGGCAAGTGAGCGAGGGCAACGCAACCCACTAATGAAACGCAGCCCTGGTTTATCCTGAATGCCATGATTGTTCATGCACCACAGGTGTGCAGCCTCACCCACCCAAACCAGAGTCTAATCAGTCTGACTCGAGCCAGGTGGGGCTGTAAACCAGCTATCAACAACACACACTCCACATACCCCTCAGTCAGAAACACTACTTGTTCCACTGATGGGATTAAGCGACAATCTTTACGTTCAAGACTCCAACTTCTGTCCAAAAAAACCTTCTTTCAATCAAGTTGTGTGCAGTCATTAATTTAAATGTATTTAAATCTCTTAAACCTCTTAAATGTACCTGTACGATGTGTCATTGTTACTGTGTTTATCTTTCTTGCCGTGTTTCTTTTAACTTGTTAAGCAATTTTTATTGCAGTTTTACA